GTGGAATGTCATGCTAGTAACCACGACTATATATAATACATACATAGATATTACAGGCGGATTACTCGATTACGTGACTCGATGAACGTTCCTTCAATCGGTGCCACCGGTTTGCTAAAGGAAAGATAGATTCACAGAATTTATAGAAGACAAGTACACACCAAGTTAGTACAAATTACAAATCGATTTATTTGCCAATGCAACAAATTAAATCTCGAACCTGCCTTATCTGCAAACTCGTCGTACGAAGTCGTAATGAATAAATAATTGTATAAATAACGTAAATATCTACGTAATTTCGTTTGTAAATATCTACGTAAAATCTTGTTTGTAAATATTTATATATAGTTTTTCGAAGATACATAATAAACAATCCATCTATAAAATTTATATACATTCATTCAAGTATATTTTCTTATAAGATTTTCAAGAGAACGAAGGAACGTAACTGCATGTTCGATGTAATAACAGTGTAACTCAATTGAACATCAAGGTCGAAAGAATACAACAGTCAATTGACACGCGCCGTCAAGCGCCACTGTCAAGCAATTTTTATTGTTTTAGGCTCACATTCCGAATCGAGCCTCGAAGTGAAGGGTTAATGTCACTTATAAATAAGAGCAACGATCTTTTTTTAACGATCGTAAGAATTTCGATCGATTATATCTTCATTTATTATAGTATAATTAAATAGTTTGGATGGCATCTTTGAGTAATTGTTAATTAAAGTACTTTAATACATATTCAACTTATTTTTTAAAATACTTTTTTTTTTCTTTCTATATTTCATTCATTTATATTTTAATTCACTCGACTTTAATTTTCGCAAATAAGTATAATTATCCGGAAGAAGAAGCTCGATTTTGTTTGGAAATATTTTTAATTGACACACACATGTGTCTGATTCCTTTTATCATTGCGTTCCAAACAGGAAAGTGCCTCGAGCTACATCAGCGAAAGTTCGTTCTGATCTACACCGATTTTCAAAACGAAAGGTTCACTTTTTTTTTGTTCTTTTTTTCTCCTTCTTTAATTTTATTCCGTCGTTTCACTTTATCTTTTTCAATTCATTCTATTTTGTGGTCATAATGTTTGTTCACAATCACTGTAATTATATGGTACCATTATTTTCTACTGCAAACACATCTATAAATTAAATAAATTTAAAAATGAAAACTTAATAAAAAGAAAAAAGATTTCAGAGATCGTGAACATGTATTATGTATGCAGATCGTAAGAGTTAATTATTGGTTACGTTAAACGTCGTCGAACATCGAAGTTTTATTACTCTGCCTCTTGGGCTTCATCCGCAATCCAATACGTACGATGATAAATTAAAAAATGAGATTTTTATGAAAGTAACATTTACGAAAAATAAATGTTAGATCAATAACGATCGATTAATGTAAAATTCTTATACGTAAATTTGTTTTTGAAACTGTATTGTTACCGTTAACGGATAATTAATTTAATTAAAAAGATAATTGAATTTTCATGAGACATAAAGATCGATTGAGTTCATATTTCGTTGTTTCGATACGACGTGTAAAAAATAAAAGTGATATCCGGTTTATTATGCCGCAAAACTTGTAGGGCCCAGAAGTACGAAACGAGTTCTTCATTTGGGTCCATGGAGTCGCATCAACATTGTCAAATACGCAAGGTCGATTTCTTTACGTGGGCGACCTTGCTATGAAGATACAACTTATTGGCTTGCATACTTGCTTATAAAAATACCTCTGATGAGGCTATGAAAATTTTCTCATTCTAAAATTAGAAACAATGTCGAAATATTATTAAACAGAAAAAACCTTATAGTTTGATTTTGGCTCGAAAATATCTAGGTGTTTAAATATACATTAAATATATGTATGTATGTGTACATGTTTGTGTATATATATATATATATATATATATATATATATATATATAATGTATTATGATCAATTTGTGATGCGTTACACGATTTATCTTGTACACACATGATGATATAATGTATACGAAATATATTATATTATAAATATTTACGATGCAATATATCAGTCATATTATAGGAATAATACTTAAAATAAAAAAATCATTTTACCAAAACATATTATCGAAATCCTAAAGAAAAAAAATTTCCATTTTACCACAAATATTTTCAATTTTCACTTTCAATTCTCACCCTTGAACACGAAGTGTTTCGTAATTTTTCATTGCAGGTAAGAAAGGCAATTCGTAAAAGTCCTTCGAGATCGCAACTCTGAATTCTTTGCGGTGTATCAATCGAAACGCACAGTGGCACGCATGAAACAGGGCGCTATTTCCACGTAACAACGATGACAGATGGACGTTGAGATAAAGAGCTGAACGAATTGATTCTAACTTATCGTACGATCATTCTTATTATTATCAGTCACAAGGTCTTCGTGACGTATTATTCAACGCCATATTTATGTTCTATTTTTCTCATCATATTAACTAAAAATAACAAAAATAAATCCTTATGAAAATATGAGTTTTAAGAGTATATATATATATATATATATATATATATATATATATACATATATACATATCTTCTTAAAACCCTACAGATGTGAAAAATGCGATTGATCTTATTCCATTTTATTTATAAAATATTCTTTTTGTTAAAAATTTTATTTAATATATAATAGGTAAATCGTGAAATCGTGAAAGAACCTCAAGAAGATAAAAATAGAATGCTAAAGTATAATTTGTCAATAAAGATATACCGTATGTGTTTCTTCGATACGTCTCATTAACCTAAGGGATCGTTAATTGAATGTTACCAAGACAAAAGATATACTCTCGGTCGGTCAAATAAGGTTTGAAAATGAAAGCAAATGTCTGAAGAACAAGAAACAGGATCACAGCGAAAAAAGTATGTCGAAACGTACAGTGGTCCACCCACAACGAGTTAATCATGTCAAGGACCAATCGAGCCTTCTCTTTTTCCACTCGTACATCGAGAGTATATACATATCCTCTTAAAACCCTACAGATGTGAAAAACGCGATTGATCTTATTCAGTACTTGGACCAATTATCGGCTTTGCGGCAAACAACTTGTTCGAATCTCGATCATCAACAAAAGGCATTATCGGCACTTTACGTTGAGTGTCGAGAGATTCGAAATCTCTCTCTTTCTTTCTTTCTTTTTTTAATACTGAAGTTATAAAGTCGAGTATCATATAACATATCACTCCGACGATGTGGGTATTGCATTTGCATAATAATTAGTGAATCATTGATTAAGATTAATTTTCTTTTTCTTTTTACTTTCATAAAATAAATTGTATATTTCTTGTAATCTTACCACGATATATGATCATTCCATTAAACTGTAACTTCAGTTCTGTTCGTAAATTTTTCTGCATCGATCGTGAAGGATTTAGTAATCTAATATCGTAAATATGTTAAAAACTTGGTCACACATACACACACACACACACACATAAACGTTCAAGAGAGAAATATAATCAAAATATACGGCGAATGTGATAGTTAACTTATGGAATGTCATGTGAAAAAGGATTTTGCAATAGCGTAACTTGGGTGGATATAACAATGATCGACGTTCGATCTATAAGTAACATTTAAACTGCCTGAACGTGCCCTCAGGATCACTATGAACGGTGTTTTGCCTTACGGCTTAGTGATATATAACTTTAACTATAATTTTTAGCGTTTGAGGCGGGGTTGAGAAATTCGAGCGGATAAAATGGGGATTGCGTGAAAAAGTGAATAAGGAAAGGTGATCAATGTGCAAAGATTATATTTCTTCTACGAATTCAGATATTGCTGAAATATTATGTATATAGATAAAGAAAAAAAAAATATTTATTCCAGGAACCTTGGCGCAAACAAATCCGACGATTTTTTTGCCATGTTCACATGCATCATAGCGAATCAGGAATCTCTCAATGGCAATTCTTACGACGAGACATTAATAATACATAAGTTTCAATGATGCCGACATTATCGTCATCATAAATGTTATCTCCTTTACGGTAGATAACGACGGCTTGTAGTTTCGCTCTTTGAGTTTGATCGTTATCGAAAAAGATCAGAATCGTTCGCGGGTCATCGCTTCTATGGGGATCGTTCTATGGGGATTGAAAGATAGCCAGATTTGTTTGTTTCACCGCCATTTTGGCCACACCCCGAAACTCAACTTTTCTCTCTTGCCTTTCCCTTTTCTCTATCTTTCTTTCTTTCTCTTTTTCTCACTTTTTGTGATCATGAAGAAATGATATCGATATAGTCGTGAAACCAGAGATTATCAAAATCGGAAAGCCTCGTAAATTATTCTCGAAACTGATCTCGTGAAAAAGATTGAATTCGTAGATAAGGATAACGACGACGAAAATATTCTTTTCCTTTCTTTTCATAGAAACAGTCAATTCGATGAGAAAAATATATTCCACGATAGGAGTTGAGAAATGTTAAGAAAAAGAAAAAAGAGGGAATAAAAATTTTTACGATGATTCATGATTCGATCAAGGACTATGGAGAAAGGAGAAAAAGAAAATGAAAATAAGGGTGCACAAGTTTCTCAATTGAATTTAAAGTACTCACATTACTAATTATTATTTACTAATATTTATTTTATTTAAAGAATTTGTATAATATTCTACAATGTCTATTGAGATTAATTCTATTTAAAAATCGTACAAGTGTCATACGTGTAATTTAAAGCAACGATAGGAAAAGTTTCAATTTTAATAAATGGATGCTAATAGATGCATTTTTAAAAACTTTATTTATTGTGTTTATCTACTAACAGTAAAATAAATATATAATCTTATTGTCGATAAGATAGTATAACTGTTATAATCGACTGTTAACAAGATTTCATAGATCAATTATCGATAAGATAGAGTTGCAATAAAAAAAAAGAGTTTCTGAAGATGTCGCCACTAAATGATTCTAATTACTCTATTTTGATAGCGCATGTGCGAAGTTTCTTTTACTTTGATACGACCAAATAGTATCTTCGTTCTTTCAGTTCTCTAGTGGCCGGTTTGAGAAGGACTGCTATCGGAGTAAAACAGTTTTTGTTCGCAAATCTTTTCATTAGCGCTTGCGCTCCACATTTAGAACAAGAATTTGCGTCGCTAACGACTAACAATGTCGTATTGCACGCGAATTATCAGTGTACAGGTATGCGTCGTATTTTTAATTTACAATCAATGAGCAAAAACAAAAAGAACTTTGAAGAGATATTATCGGTTCAACTATGACTTGATGAATAAGTTTCCATGAGAATATTTGATTGATGAGCTTTTCGAACTTGTTCTCTTGACCTCTTTCTTCTGGGAGGTCATTAATGACATTAAAATAGTATTAAATGTTAAATCAACGATGACCAATACGAACGATAAATCGAGATCCTTCGTGAATAAATCCTCCATATTGAACCGATTAATTTTTTTCCAAATTATATAAATTTGTTATATTTATTGAATTTTCATATATTAATACATCGAATAATTATTTAATTTTAAAGTGAAATAGAACGTTCGAAGAACGAGAAATAAAAGAATTCTGTTTTGTCATGTGACATTGTCACAATTCACTTTAATTGAATCTTAAAATGCGGATTGTTTTCAACTGACAAGTTAAATACATTCTGTTTGTGTATTACGAAAATAATTGTTGTTTTTTTGTTATGCATATTAATTATCTTTCTTTGAATAAAAATTATTCGAAAATAAAATTTATCTTATTCTCGAAGACTCATTATATAATCGAGATATAAAAGTCGTATATATATACATATTGTGCCCTTGCTATATTTCTAGGTTATAATTTTGAACAGTTTTATAGTGTATCGTTCATTGGCGCGTTAAATGAATGAGACTTTCCCCTTTCTCACTTCGAAGAACGTTCGCGGAATATAACGCAAGTTTCTTATGTAATATGTACGCTTTCATAAAAGATAAGACTTTATTAGATATTCTTCAATGGCGTATCGATCTAAATAAAGATATATTATCATGATTAAATAGAATTTAAGCTGAATGATGAAATTTTTATTACAACAATAATCATTTATAAATTGTGGAATTTCTTTTTCTTATTGTTATCTTCTTTAATAATTTTGTTTGATATCTGTTATAGGAAATTGCATTATAAATATATTTCTTTAATAAATCTTATAGATAAAATAACTTACAGTAAATAATTTTGTATTTAAGATTATCTGAAAAAATATGTAATATCATGCATAATAGTTTTGCATTATGAGGATGTTGACATCGTATATTTTATGTAGTCTTATTCTATTAATAGCATAATAGACAATATAGCAGACAAAATTATATGAATTCCTACATACCAAAGGATGTTGTAATTTAAATATTGACAATGAGATTTATATTGTGTATTCAAGTTGATTAAATTCTTTCTATTCATATCAAAATAGAATATCATATTTCATAAGCATGTATATTTTCAAATGTATGCAAAATCTTTCAACTCTTATTAAGCACAAAGTATTGCAATTAATAATAAAAATGTATTCATTTCAGAAATTCGCTATCTTTGCAACAGACATCCAACAAAGATGCTTCAGTGCAAGTCCTTTAAGCTTTGGTGCTGCCAAAGTAGCTATGTCAAAATTCGATAAAACAAACTACTTACCATATGAAAAATTAGAAGACACTCTCAAGATCGTTAAAAAAAGGTACATATTAATTTTAAATTTGATTTAATCAATTATTTGATTATTTGATTAAATTCATATAAACTTTGTAAACGATAATTTCTTTCTTTGATAATAATTAAACATTATCACAGATTAAACCGGCCATTGACATTATCTGAAAAAATATTATACTCTCATCTTGATGAACCCGATAAACAAGACATTGTGCGTGGTACAAGTTATCTTAGATTACGCCCAGATCGTGTTGCAATGCAAGATGCTACTGCACAGATGGCCATGTTGCAATTCATTAGTTCTGGTAAATTTTATTTATCAGTTTTTAAATGATGGTTTTATTTACTTTAATTAGGTGGAAAGCTGAGTATCAGAAGAGTGTTATATAATACTCAAATTCAGAATATAAACTCTTAGTACTTAATAATCTCTTAGTTAAAACTATTCTAGCATTTTTTTTTTTTTTTATAGGTTTACCAAAAGTAGCAGTCCCATCAACCATTCATTGTGATCACTTAATTGAAGCTCAGATTGGTGGTGTAGAAGATTTAAAACGAGCAAAGGATCTCAACAAAGAGGTCTACAACTTTTTAAAAACAGCTGGTGCTAAATATGGAGTTGGTTTTTGGAATCCTGGTTCGGGTATCATTCATCAGATTATTTTGGAGAATTATGCCTTTCCTGGACTTTTAATGATCGGTACTGATTCTCATACACCAAATGGAGGCGGTTTGGGATGCCTATGTATAGGCGTGGGTGGTGCTGATGCTGTTGATGTAATGGCAAATATACCATGGGAATTAAAATGTCCTAAGGTTATTGGAGTTAAATTGACAGGAAATTTAAAAGGATGGACCAGTCCAAAGGATATTATCTTAAAGGTAGCTGGTATCCTCACTGTTAAAGGAGGTACAGGTGCCATCGTCGAATATTTCGGACCTGGTGTCGACAGTATCAGCTGTACTGGAATGGCTACAATTTGTAACATGGGTGCTGAGATTGGAGCTACTACGTCTGTGTTCCCTTATAATTATCGTATGCAAGATTATCTTAAAGCAACGGGTCGTGGTGAAATAGCCAAAGAAGCCGATAAATACAAAGAAAAACTTCTGACTGCTGATTCAGGCGCTAATTATGATCAGATTGTCGAATTGGATCTTTCCACCTTAGAACCTCATGTTAATGGACCATTTACACCTGATCTTGCTCATCCTATTTCTAAATTGGGTATTCATTATATATTTTATATTTTAATTCGTTCATATATATATATATATATATATATATATATATATATATATATATATACATATAAAGTTCTCGTTTAATATAATCTTGTTTCAGGTGAAACTGCTAAACAGAACGGTTGGCCCAATGAAATTAAAGTTGGTCTTATCGGCTCCTGCACAAATAGTTCATACGAAGATATGGGTCGTTGTGCTAATATTGCTAAACAAGCTATAAAACACGGATTGAAAGCAAAATCTGCATTCAATGTCACACCAGGATCCGAACAAATTCGTGCTACAATAGAACGCGATGGAATTGTAAGCTATTTTTTGACTCACATTACGAATCGTTACTCAATCAATATTTTAAAATTAGTTTTGTTACCAATGTCGAATCTCTTTAAGAAAGATTATTATTAATTTAAATGAAATCTTAATTCTAATATTATGATAAAGCATTTGAATGTGATTTATTACATTTTTAAATATTGATCTTTAAAACCAGTAAAAGAATTTTTATCATTTTAATAATATTCTTATTATAACATGGGTTGTGTGTACATTTCTGAATCCTTGCCAAATGTCGATACACATATGTATATTTACTTACTTTGTTATCTTTAATTGCGTGACTTGCATCAATTCTTAATCTAGATCACGTGAATATAATAAAAAAGAAAACGAAATAAAAAACAGAAAGAGACATTTCAATGTTATGTTTTGTTTTAGGCAAAGATTCTTCGCGACTTTGGTGGCACCGTACTTGCTAATGCTTGCGGACCTTGTATTGGACAATGGGATCGCAAGGACATTAAAAAAGGAGATAAGAATACTATTGTTACATCTTATAATCGTAATTTTACAGGACGTAATGATGCCAATCCTGCTACTCATGCATTTGTTACAAGTCCAGAACTCGTCACTGCCCTGTCTATTGCTGGTAGATTAGACTTTAATCCAGTGAAAGATAAATTGAAAGGAAAGGATGGCAAAGAATTTCTTTTGGATGATCCTTTCGGTCAGTTACATATATTTATTGATTTTTTGTGTAATCGTTTAAGCGAATATTAAATAACGTATCAAATGTAATTTATTATATTACTTGTGAGTTTCACCTATCAGTAAGAAACTTCTATAATTTTTATAATAAGCAATGCATTTCAGCATATATCTTCTAAGTATGTATGCATTGCAAATAATAATATTGACAGAGTATAAATTGTTGATTATCTCTAAATGCCTAATTTATAATTATCAATAATTTCTTGATAAATTATTAAGTAACTAATCTTTTGACACATTAACACATATTATTTTAATGTATAGGCGATGAACTTCCCAACCGTGGATTTGACCCTGGCTTAGACACATATGATGCACCTCCCTCAGATGGTAGCAAAGTAAAAGTTGATGTAGATGTAAAAAGTCAAAGATTACAATTACTAGAACCATTTGACAAATGGGATGGCAAAGATCTTTCAGACATGACAATCCTTATTAAAGTAAAAGGAAAATGCACCACTGATCATATTTCAGCAGCAGGACCTTGGTTAAAATATCGTGGTCATTTGGACAACATTTCCAACAATATGTTCATTGGGTTAGCATTATATTTATATGATAAAAACGATAATGCATCAATTATATTTGCTAATTTTACATTATTATTTTCAATTCTTAGAGCTGTCAATTCGGAAAACGGTGAAATGAATAAAATAAAAAATCAATTAACGGGTGAATGGGGTGCAGTGCCTGATGTAGCAAGGCATTATAAGAAAAACGGAGTTAAATGGGTCGCTGTAGGTGATGAAAACTACGGTGAGGGATCTTCTCGCGAACATGCTGCACTTGAACCACGCCATTTAGGAGGTCGCGCTATTATCGTAAAAAGTTTCGCACGTATTCACGAAACGAATTTGAAAAAACAGGGATTACTTCCTTTAACATTTGCTAATCCAAGCGATTACGATAAAATACAACCTACAGACAAAGTCACTCTTCTTGGTCTAAAAGATTTAGCTCCTGGCAAGGTATACACTGATAAGATAAAATAAAAATGTTTTGTACATTAATCAACAACAACTAAATTTAATATTATTTTATTTCTGCAGTCTGTGAAAGCCGAAATCAAGCACAAAGATGGAAAAGTTGATGTAATTAGTTTAAATCATACAATGAACGAACAACAAATAGATTGGTTCAAAGCTGGTTCCGCTTTGAATCGTATGAAAGAAATTGCTGCGGGAAAATAAGATCATTATTTTCTTCTAAGAAAAAGCGAATATAAAGCGTCAAGTGGAGAAACGTACATAATTTTAATTAGTTACGGGTAGATCGTTTGTAAGCCGCTCGAAAATTGTTCAATTTTGCAACATTATTGTTTTCATAGGCTTACTTCCATTATAATTGTTTCAGAAAATTTACGCAATGATCATGCAACATTTCGACTTCACTAATGTAGAAATGTACAACTTAATTGTTACTTCCATTTTCAGGATACTTTAAAGCTTAGAATGAATTATTAATCAATCTGATCCGTAGATACTAAGCAAATGTATCTATAGAATTTTATTTTGGGGCCGGGGGGAGGGGGGAAGATAGGATGATCAATAGATTTTTTTTCATAGTCATTTCGTGCATCGAAGTTCTCTGCTTCTCGTCGGGTAAAGGATAGTGTTAATAATATTAGTCATTGGAATGTAATTTTGAAGTGTCAAAAGATTTATTTTAAATCACGTACGTCATGATAGATCGTCTATGTCATATAGATCTCTTTATCCGACAAGTTATTATGTACATATTATTCACAAAGACGTAGTTCTATTGTCCATATAAAATTATTTAAGTACGAATTATATAAATTATATGGTTATTGACTGACTTGAAGAAAGAAAAAAATATGTAAAATTGTTGTCAACGATGAAAGGGCAAATAAAATACTCGACATCATTTTAAGTCGATGATTTTATTTGATTATGATTCTTCCATATCTAATTTCAATATATGTTATGTTACATGTTTATGAATCATTTCATGCGAAATCGATATCACTTTTTAAAGTAACAATTTTGTTTTCATTAAAAATCGAATATGTTATAGTTTTTAGTCTTAAATAAATGTATATAAATGGATTTTTCAAAATATTTTCGATTATCGTGGTTATAGCCATTAGAATACACAAATTATTGTACCTAATGCACATCTCTTCTAATAGTTATATTTTCGTAAATTATACTTTTTTTTTTGTAAACGATTGCACGCTTTACATGCAAAAAATTGAAACTCTGAAAAAATTTGAGAAAATTATAATATATTCTTTGAATTTTTCTTTCATAGCACAGGCTTTATATTATATTATATGAGATATATGATTTTCAACAACAGTAGAAATGTTATTTAAAAAAGTGATCGATTTTGCATGGCATGACCTACATATTTAACAACGCAATCTTTTAAATTTGGCGCGGCATATGTATATACCTTACGTAATCTCATATATCTATTATTACTACTGCGCATGCGCGTATCCCATAGCAACGCGTTCCACTGTATACGAAACATATGTGTGTTAATCCACAAGGCAGAAGTGATCACAGTACTTGCTCGTTTTGTTAAATAGATTATAATTGAGATACCAAGAAAAATATTATTTTAATTTATAAAATAATGTCAGTGGAAGGGGAGTTTTTCTTATCTGTTACAGGCTCAATTGAATATGCAGAATTCTACAATGCCGATAATGCATATTGCAAGTACGGGTTTCATTTTGGATCCGAATGGAGCGTTGTGGCAGTTAGTATATCATTTTATTTTATTCAAATTTTATTCAAACTTCTTCACTATTAGTTTATATAGATACGAAGTATATAGTATATATACTATATATACATGTATATATATATACATGTATATATATATACATGTATATATATATACATGTATATATATATATATATATGTATGTATATACGAAAGTATTGTTCGAATATTGATAACAGCATTTCGATCTACTACTACTGAATTACTTGTTTGTCGAATTCTACAACTTCGTTATAAACAAATTTCATTATTTCAGGGAATTGAAGAAGGTCTGACACAAATGTGTAAACGCAGTAACGATCCCAGAAATGTTATTGTTTGGAACTTCCCATTGGAAATTACGTTTAAAAGCACAAATCCACATGGATGTAAGTAAAATCGATATATAGGAGTATTCATAAATGCATGTCGATATTTCAGAAGATAAATCTACACACTAACATAAGTAAAGATTATATCATATAATGGTATTACGTCCTATATATTTTAGTTTTCGAATTATGGATGATTAAAGAAAATATTTAAATTATGAGAGATCATATTTTCTTCTGTCTCAATTGATTTCTTACGAAAGGACCTTTAGGAATTACTGTGTATTATGTCTCTAAATATTAGACTAAATTTATGATTTATGCACGATGATGCTCCGAAATATCAAATGTCTATTAATATTTTTAATACCTACGATTTATTATTAGATATTATTCGATACAGTATCATAATTTTCAGGCTCGATCAAATCACTAACAAGTTGCGTATATTGAGGCATGTATATTAGTATATATCTGATTTCAAAATTAATATCATAATCAAATTAAAAAATTATCGATGTGTGTTGCAGGGCCACAACTGATAATGTCTATTTACGGATTAGATATGTTCGATCACGATGTTATTGAAGGTTACGGTGTATGTCATTTGCCTCTTATAACGGGACATCACGAAAAAAAGTAAATTACATTTGTTTTATATCGCTGTAAGCTATCCTTTTTAAATCAATTAATTAATTAATTACTAAAGAAAATTGTTATGAAAAATTGTTTTGTTATTTTTAACAAATTAGTGAATAATAATTTGCGAATTGAATTTATAATATCATAGACCAAAATAAAAGATAAAAATATATTTTTATTATATGCCAAGATATCACATGTATTTATAGAAATTTTAGAATAGAATTACATTGATCGCATTAATCGTTCACATGGCGATTATTAAAATGCTATAATCGTTATGATCGATAATTAAAAACGATATAATATTTTTACATTATTATGACTTTATTTTGTTGTAATTCTATTTACAGAGTTTTCATTTATGTTCCTCAATCGTCTTCTACGTTGCAACAATTCGCTGCTTGGTTGACAGGAAAAAGACCTGAATTAATTGATCCAGCCATATTGGCCAGTGGTGGTGGACGAGAATGTGAGTGAATTTTTAATTTATATTACATAATTTAAATAACAAATATAAATAACTTTAATTCGTACAATAATTGTAAATAAATACGGTATATCCGGTATTAAACAATCGACAAAATTTTAAATCGTCAATCGTAATAAAAATTCGAAAAAATAACGCTAAAAATAATTATTTTTGTTTCAAGTACACAATAAAAGAAAGAGATAGCGAATAAAAATTTGTTTAATGATAATGTTATTCACATAGTGTATTAATAAACGTATAAGAATTTTTATAAGAGATAAGTGATAAGCGATAGATTGATCGTAGATTCGACAAATATTTTTGATTATTACAGTGACTCGCATGAAGGTTCAAGGACATGTTATCTTGACCTTTAACGTCGTACTGAAAGATTTTCTGAAATTGGGCTACAACAATGGAGAAAATAAAGGAAAATGAGTAATACTTTTTTTTCGTTTTCTTTTTTCTTTTTCTTTCTATTAACGCACCTTATCTGACATTTCCGTGTCGCTTTATTTTATTTTTCTCATCATAAATTTTCATTAAATTCTACTTGTAGACTTATAATATTTGTCTGAATTCAATTCGAAGTTACGCTTTGATCTGTCTATATGTTCGTATTAAATGAAACGCTATATGGTTGTGCCGTTCTATTGTTATTTTCTTATTTTTAGACTTTGATCTTTCTCATGGACATGACTTAATAATTTTCAATTCAATTTCATCATCTTGATTTCTATTGAAAAATTTAAATGTTTTTGCACGATGTAATTAATTTGAATAAAAGGGATCATTCATTTTTAAGCGATCAAAATTCCATAATTCGTTATGTAAGTAATAACTGCAACAATTTTAACCGTTTGCGTACCAGAGGGTTTTGACAAGACATGATAGAAAAACGCCGAAGAGCGCGATAGCGCTCCTTCGATTACGTATCGAAAAGAGCCGAAGAGCGCGATAACGCTTGTCATGTTCAATGCGGTAAACAACGGGACCGCGCTTTTTGTGTTTGTTTCTTTTATACCAAATTCAGTTATGAATGAAAATATATATATATATATATATATATATATATATATATATATATTCTATTAATTTAGAGTAGGTAACAACAAAATACAAATTGGTTTACTGATAACGATGCGACTGAAACAGTACATATGTCTGAAAGGCTGAGCGCGTTTCGACAAATTTCGGATGGGCCATCAGTTGTCTATATTGGCCAAATGCCTTGGATTTTTTCGACACAAAATTTGAAAAGCGCGAAAGTGGCTCGTGGTACGCAAACGGTTAACAAAGAAATAGGATTATATATAGAAATATAATGGTCCCTTGTTATTTCGGTGAAGGAAAATTGGCACGTAGTCATGCAAAATTCCTTCATTAATATTCATATACTGGATGTTAAGTAAAACATAACCGGTTATGGTACTTTAACGTTACATTTATGGTTTCCTAAAAAAAGTTCTTAAGGCAAAACGACCCGGTTATTGTCGTATATCACAATGACACTTTGACAAAACTAGGAAGTGCCATGATAACGTGAAATTAAACGAAATTATCATTGAGGCTGCAGGAAACTAGGAAATTACTCTCATGGGACATTTGCTATCTTACCTCTCAATGTTCATTTCTTTACATTTGCATATGGGTATAATGCATATGAATGAGGAGGATGAAATATGAGAGAGATAAGCATTCATTGAAGTTTATTCTGATACATTTTTTAGAATGGTATAGTATTAGAAAAATCGTAGGTTTTCTGGTTCTATTTTTCTTTCCTCTATGAGTTTCTTTCGTGGCTTTAATAAATTGAATACTACAGGTATAACTATTGATCGATACTCGATTTGGCAGGCTTTTTTCTTGTGTTCTTTTTTCTTTTTTTTTTTTTTATTTAAAACATTAAAATTTTTTTTACGATTTTTAGAAGACTAAAAATCAATTTTATTTAGAAAAAATCAAATACATGTATAAATACATAAATATATACATATATATATCAATTGAACGACTAAGGAATATACCATTCAATAAATAGAAGAATGATATGAAAAGATATCGTATTCGATTTTTTTCATGATTTATCGTACTTCTCAAGCTACTAGTTTATATAACGATCATCATTTATATTATCGTCTACGATGGAATGTCAATTTTTTTTTTAATTTATCAGCAGATAAGAGAGTTGACTCAAGTTAATTACTATAATATTTTTTGCAAAAGACTTAAATATCCGTATAAAGTTTGCAAAAGTTTCACATTCGAATTTCCATTTCAATTACGATTTCAAAGATTGAAATGTACGATACTTTGATGTATCTCACGAACGTATATATGTGTGTATATATTTATGTATGTGTGATTCGTGATCAACTAAAATGAACAAGCTTTCCGTTTCGCGATTTCGTCCTTATCAAAGGCGACATTGTATTAAATTCAAATAGTGAGCGTATAGTAACAGTAATACGCTTTTCGACTTCCGAACTGCAAGAAGTGTAACGCATAACGTTGTAACTAATGAAGCAAACATTGTTAATGAGGAAGGTAGATTTTGAATCAAGTTCAAAGAAAGGAAAAAAGTAATTAAAGATGAGAAATATTTGCTTAGCTAAAAGAAAGAATAATAACGTTATTTCAATATTTATATAATTTCAGAATACTTCTCCAAAATACCTCCTAATTAATTAATTAATTAATTATCCTACCAAAGATATTTCAGGTTGATATTTTTATTTCGAAAGAAAATAACATTACATATATCTATATTAATGCTTAGAAGCTTAGAATGTTCATACACGCGTTGCTCTAATAAAAATTGCTCTAATTGTAAAATTCGTTGCATTTTTTATTTTATTCGTAATTTTTAAATTTATAATAATAAACAAAATTATTTTACTCACAAGTCGGTCCAAGATAGGAGAGTTATGTATTTTGATATGACTTTGATATTATTAAATTGAAATAAGCCATACTAATTTGAGTCATTATTAGTGTTTCAATTTTAATGACACTTTTTAAACAATTAAAAAAGACTTTTTTATTTCTTTAACTTTCATATAAAAATTATACACAAAGCATTATTATGAGAATTATATTTGGTTGTTGAAATGAATCCGAATACTTTAATGCATTTCTTTTATTTATGACTATTAAGCGGTATCCAGAATATAAATGAACTCTTGCTGGTATAAATTTGCAATTATCTCAAGCTCTACAATATTTATTCGATGCCTGAAAAAAATGATTTATTCTTTAAATGAGTTTAAAAAATAAAGTTAAATATACTGCACGCGAAAAAACTTCATAAATCTATATATCCAACTAATACTTAAATATTTATTATAATTTCTTATTAAAACAAAAACAAAAAGAAAGAAAGTATAGATGAATTACGAATGTTTCCCATAAGTTTGATAATATTTATTATTGGCATCGAATGACAAAATATTACTTAGCCCTACTTGTAGGTGGTCTTACAGGATTGATAATAATTACAGCGATTATGTCGTATATCGAATATCAATACTTTAAACAAAATCTATTGTCAGATATCATGCGAAGAAAAAAATGAGAACAATAGATTTGTTCAGTATTTCTTTATTTTTATTTCGATAAGAATATTTTTCTATGCATTCATTAAGATGATTATTTTCTATTAATATTAAGAGCACATTTTTTTAGCCATCCAAAAGGCAAAGTAAAGATCATTACAACTGTTACTAGAATATATATATGTCTAAGGATGTAAAATATCGTGATATCGTATATATCTTAGTAGCATCGTTTGTCATAACTTTTGCAATTAAGTTTTACACAAAAATTTATGGCTTATGTTTCTATTCGTAGAAAGTCATGTGAATAATGTGTATATTACAGTGAAATAAGTTATCTTTTATTTTCACAAGTATGCAATTACAGTGAATTTATTATTATATATAATATACATATGTACATATATTGTACAATTTTCAGGTCACGGTTTACATAATATACAAATATTTTCCAAGTTTTATACGTTACTAATACAAAATAGGATCTGAAAAATCGATACAAATCTATATTCAAGCGATAAGATCGCTCCTCGTAATAATTAATTGGAAATATTTAATTTTGGTCGATAGTTATGCGATTACCCGTTCATAATGCCTTAGTATTTATATGTACTTGTACATATATACACACACACATATATATATATACACACACATATTATATCTATTTATTTAAAATAACGACTAAATGCCAATGTAAGAGATAATTCTAGCCGGAGATCTGCCGCCAGCGCCATTCTCCATGCGGAATGATCTTATCATAGAGAAATTACCATAATCATTTATTGTCTAATAGTATTAAATTATTAATTAAGACTATATTTTTATATAACAATACTGACTCAGTTATAACAATCGAGATAACACAGTTTACGTAATTCGTTCGGTCCTTCGAAGAAAGTTTAAATCTTTTTCGATATATCGTTTCTCTCTTGGGACATTCTTCTCTAATCTTGAAGACTAAGTTTCGTCGATTCGACGAAAGTTCGTAAATAAAAAAGTCTATATATAGTAACGTTCCAGCGATTCTATAGCATAACTAATACGAAAATACAATAAATAATCCGTCGAACGATTAACACTTATCTTGGCGTTTATATACATACGTGCACGCGTGGGTGTATATTAACAATATATATTATATATAATAAGATATATAAAACTTTATATTAATTCTATTTTTTATCTTTATATAAGTTCTATATATCTATATTAACAATACATATATATAGAACTTTACATTCCGAAATGTATTCGATACGTCTCTTAACAATCCTAATTTCTTCGTAAGTTTAATAAAAATGTCTTTCTATTGCGTTAACTTTGATATCTTTTTTGTTATAATTATTATTAATATTACTTGGGAAAAGTATTGAATGTAGTTATACAAAATTTTTTCCCTTTTATATTTATTTATTTTTTTTTTCTTTAAGTAGGATAGAATACGTTTAAATGCGATTTGGTAACTTTGCTCTCCTATTTCGCTTATGGACTAGATTCATTGGCAAAATCACGTTTGGCACAGCATCCAGTCGTTCTGCAAAGAAATTAAATAATATTATTATCGTTAGAGTTTCGAAAGTATTTTATTTATTTAATGCTTTGTGAATATATAAATTTATATATCTTGCGATTATTTTCATCATCTATAAAAGGAAGGGTTCAAGAGAAATATTATTCGTATAAAGAAAAGTAAGGCAAGAATATTTAGAAAGATAATTCCGACATAAAACTCGGGTATATCTATAATTACTTTCGCGAAAAAAAAGAGAAAAAAACTGAATCGTGATTGGAAAGAGAGATCCAAATTTACTAAGATTTTTTTTTTGTATCGTATCTCATAAAGAATAATTTAGGACGAAATTTATCTCATATAAATTTGTTCCAAAGTCCCGCCTGGGACGTGAATTGTTTTTTACAAAATTTCATTTTCTTTAATACACTTCAATTTAATGATTTTCAAATATATTCAAATTATTTTTAATAATTTAAATGAACGTTATAAACTATTTTTGATTTTTTTGCCCGTGAGCAATCTCATAAATAAATATTCTTATATTTACCTTTATTATTCTACGTTATTGTTAAGGTCATTTGGATTATTATTGCTAACGCTGTTGTTCAATTTTATTTGGTAAAATGTTTTTATGAATTCCAAAACAATGCCGTTCGTCCATCCAAAGCCTTCTTGAACATTATATTCGCCACCACCGCCTCCTTTACCTGGCGAAGTAGCATCATACTGCAAATCAAATGTAAATATGATAAATAATTAGTTATCGTAAACCCAAAGTAAATACAACCGATTGAGTTTAATAATTAAGTCGAACTTGAGACACTGCCACGATGTTATGTCGCCCGGAGTTATATCTATAGAGGACCTGTTCTCATAAGACATGCACCCCATTTACCTCATCTAATTCCATATTGAAGGGAAGCCGAATGAACTCGACTGATCGAGATAGACGCTTGAATACTAATCTTTGTAAATTCTACAGGAAAAAGCACAAAGAGAGAGAGAGAGAGAGAGAGAGAGAGAGAGAGAGAGCGAGAGAGAGAGAGAGAGAGAGAGTTAGTGATATTTGGTGATAATAAATTTCTACGAATCCTTTGCCTTAAGGATAATTATTTTGTCATTCTGCATCATGAGAAAAAGAGATGTATTCAAATATTAAATAGTATAATATGATTTAATATTATACTATTTAATATTATATTAATATTGATATTTTCGTTTATAGCAAAACAATGTCACCGGTTAGATATATAAACAGTTACAAAAAGATTTTATTTTTTAATGGAGAATATCATTATCAGAGATGAAATGGATAAAGAAGAAAAAGTTCGTAAGAATTTGGTTTTTTTTTTATGATCTTAGTTGGTAGGTCGAAGGACTCGACATAGTAGGACAGATGATTTCGCGGCTTTGTTGAAAATATCGACTTAAAATTTTTAATCTAGCACACGGACGAAGCACTAACTTGACTTTATACCCAACGTAATACCCGGACTTATTCGTACTTTTCTCGTTGACGGGTTGAGGCGATGACACAGTCGTAAAAAAAAGTCGAGAAACGTCAATTCGCACATTCGAATATTCATTTTCAGTAGATAATCGAGATTTTTCATTTCGAAGTTAATTCGTAGAAGTCATGATGCTTTGTCTCTCTCTCTCTCTTTCTCTCTCTCTCTCTCTCTCTCTCTCTATTTATCTATCTGTCTATCTTATTTCAATATTTATATTTAATTATTCAAATTCATTTACATTTTGTGGACGAAAGAGAATAATTACTATTTCATAATTATACTTCAATTCATACAAATCTGACAGTGACGTTATAAAGTTTTTGAAAACAGCTACACACACACATATATATGCACAGAAAGTAAATATAGATAATGTAAGTACATTAAATGACCCATATTATATAAATATAAATATAAAGCTTTTTTCGATTTATCGGTTAAAAAGTCATATATAATGGCTATTGAAAGAGATGGACTTTCAAATAAAAAAAAAAAAAAAAGAAAAAAAAAAAAGAGAGAGAGAGAAGAAACTTTAAAAAATAACTGTAAAAATTCTTCTCGTTTTGCTGCCTCGGCAATTTTACGATGGTAGTATCGTGCGATATTGGTGCTTTATTCTTGGATGAATTTCCGAGGAAATGGAAAATGGCCAGTTTCGATAGATCAACTTTTCAGTATTCTTTTCGTTCGTTCGATAGAACGAAAAAACGAACGAACGAACGAACGAACGAACGAACGAACGAATGAATGAATGAACAAACGATTCAGCATTTTAACGCGAGAAATAGTAAATTCCTTCGCGTTCGGGAATACCTTTCCGTATTTCATTTGTAGAGAAGGACCTGACACTTTAAAACGAAGATTATAGAGCTTTAACGATATTCAAAGATTTAAGTGTATAGAATGTTTTATTATTTAGCTCCAATAGATGTCAAATTTTTCTATTTCTTTTACGTCCTCGATCGTTCTATTCCTTTTTCGCTTCTTTTTTTTTATAATATAATTTGAATTAAAATAATCCTAATTTAATTAATTATTTTCACTTCATTTAATTTCATCCTTAATTATAATTAATTAATTAATTAAATTAGCATTAATTTTTTTTCTCTATTAAATATTAATTGTTTGATATTTCTCTCTCTCTTTCTCTTTACTTTTAAAAACATCATTTATATGCCATCATCAAATTTTTATTTTCTTTAACATACTTTAAAATATTTTTAACGAAACAATGTGACCATTTCCGATAAACAACACAAGAGATCTTTAAATATAATAAAATTTCAAAAAGGATCTTTAAAAATACAATAAAAATTCAATGTTACTTTTGCATTGCTACCATTGATCCTTTACAACCCAAAGTTTTTTTCCAAATGCAAAGACGATTTAGACTACTCTTGACATTTTTTCTCGTTTAACGATATTATCCTTATTACTGATAATGTCTGGACGCTTTGGGATTTAACGGAAAAACTTTGCTTGTTAGAAGGACGACGATTGCTAGAAATTCATTCACGGATAATGTTCTCTCTGGAACTTCTGACAATGGAGAGGATCAGAGGATCATTTAATAATTCGTTCTGCTTTCTGACTACAAATATCTTTGCTTTTTTTCCGAGGAAAAGAGATAGATTATTTATTTTGCTGAATGAAGCTTTATAACATTCTATTCGATTGAAATGATTGATCGTTCGCGTTTCTTACTAAATCAAACTTGAAGACAGAAAAAAGTTAGATTACAGAAATATCAAAAAAAAAAAAAAAAAAAAAAAAAATGAAAAGAAAGACACAAAGAGAGAGTGAGAGAAAGAGAAAAAGAGAAAAAGGTTGAAATCTTGTGATTTCAATAGAAATAAAAATTTATGTTACGATGAAAAATGAAGCTCCTTTCATCAGTTTCCCTTTGAAAAATCATTGTTCGTTACGTAATCAATAAGATGAATGATTTATCTACTATCGAAACCTACAAATATGTGTATATAATATTTTTTTTTCTTTCATTAAAATCCAAAGAAGAACTCTAATGTGAAATTCAAACGGACTTCGAGAAATTCTTACATAAACGTGAGAATAAAAAATTCTCTCTCTCTTTCTCTCTCTCGTACGAGTTCATGCAAATATACTTTGATTATCCTTCTTTGTGGTTCAATACGAGAATTTTAATTAAACCGTTGATATTCATTCAACGTTCGTTTACTGAACTGAATGGATTGTTAATTTCCGTCAACGAATCACCGTTAACTTCCCAACGCGATTGATTTTCTTCTTCGTCTTATCGCAATGTCTTTCTTCTCGATTATCTTATCTTTTCATTTTTTTTTATATTCTTCTCTCTCTCTCTCTCTCTCTCTCTCTCTCTCTCTCTCTTTCTCTCTCTCTCTCTTTCTCTCTTTCTTCCTTTCCCTTTTTCTTTTTACTTCCATTCATAGAACTTTTGAATATGCAATCCTTCGTCATCCGTGAATTCTGATTCAAACTACTATCAATTTCTATTCTTCACTTCTCGATAAACAGAATAGAAAAGTTTTTCGCGCGAAAAATAAAACGTGAAAAAAATAAAAAATTGTGTCGGAATTTGAACACATTTCTACATGAAATGAAAAGTCGCGATAATAATAAAGCTGAAACAACCCGATTGAAAATTTTAATACATTTTTCGATTTGTATGGGTGTGTATATTATTATTATCACCTTAATATCCATTCCAGGTCGTTTGCATTTTATTCGCGTTCTCGTTACGTATATATTTAAGTTCAGCGACTCATAAAAGAGTCGTCTTAGTTTCACGTTCGTTTACAGTTAACCATCTACTTAGTATATAGTGTATTTACGTACAATAAGCATTAAAAGTCTTTTTTCCGTTTTTTAAAAGCAAATAATTTTACTAAGTATAAACGAAATGTCTTGAAATTGTGAATAGATATAAGAAAATTTTAAGGTTTATAAACTGTCGTTATGACTTTTTGTGACAACATTAACAAATTAATCCTTAATAAATAAAGCATTATTATATATTTTAAAGTTAATTTCGAGATTGTATCTACAAAATGATAATTTACGATTTTGATAATATTCACGAAGTAATATTCCAGATATTTACAATTTTAGAATATTATATCCTTCAAAAAAAAAAAAAAAAAAAGAAAAAGAGGAAAAAAGAAAGAAAAAGGGGAAATAGTTGGAATAAAAATTCAGCCTTAAAAAGTATAAAAGTACATTACTTTCAAGAGTCACTGTGTAACTATAACTCGAAGAATATTGATTTTCATTCGGTTATTGATTATTCCACAGAAAGAAATATCTTCTTTTAGTGTCCTTTGTATCGTATCGGTAAACCGTATTTTTCCTGTATTTAATCATTGTGCAAAGAGCGTCGTTTTGGAGTCAAGCTTGTCTTATTTTATACCCTTACGTCTTTTCCCGTTCATCGAATTTACCAAGAACGCGGTGTTTCTGTCTCGAGATTCGAAAATCGACTTGGCGAACTTTTTGATCGTATCATCAAAACTTTCATCGATAAAAGTAATATTCCTATTTGGTAAGCCTTACGGAATATCTTTTTCCATTTGAGAACTTGTTCGTTTGATGTAGATCGAGACTGGTACATACCCTTATACATATATATATATATATATATATATATATATATATATATATGTATATATATATATATGTATATATATATATGTATATATATATATATATGTATATATATATATATATATATATATATATATATATATATCTATGTACAAAATGTACGGAGCGAAAATTGTGATAAATGGAATTAGATAGAATTAGAAACGTAGGAGACATTTCTAAAAGGAATTATCGACTTATCTGGCCTGAATACAATCGAGAAAGAAAGAGAATAGGTGTCTTTCGTATTTTGTACAGTTCGAAAGAAATAAAGAAAAATGTGAACTATAAAGAAGGGAATTCGTATTGTATGCTACTCTTGTATCATCTTAAGTCCGATCCTTTATAACACAATCATTCTTCTCGTTTCTTCTTAAGATATCGTGACGTTATTCTAACATTAGTTGATCCAAGAACAAAGCTGGGTTTACGAACAATCGGGTTCCATCGCGAATAAATCAGAGGACTCATAGCATTATCCTTCGAAATATCTTATCATCAAAGGACCGAGTTAACACGAGTTAGGGAAGGAAAGAGAAAGCGAATATACAGAATAGTATGACGATACGGACCCTTCAACGTTTATACAAACTTCATCTAATCTGGTCGATTAAAAATTCCTTCTCTGTAAATTCTAAAAATAATGCTTTTAACGCTTCGTATCCTCTTATTCATTCCATTTGCTATTCTAAGAATTTTTGGAACGGTGAGCACTTTAATTTGCAAGGTCGACTAAATTAACATCTTTATATCTCAAAGTGTATTCATAAAATTTGATAATATTAACGAAATATTTCGGCTTGATGAAAAAAATAAAAAAGAAAGGAAGATAAAAAATACGAATAGATCTATTGCAGTTTAAGTTATTATATCGAGTAACTTGCATAAAAAAATTTGCTAAAAATTATCTATTCCTTTGGCTTTACATACATTACTAAAGAATTTTTTGTATTAAAATGTTAAAACGTGTACTTAAATATTCCATTGAAATAGCTTACCTTTTCGAACATCTTTCCAGTAGCTTCATAGCCAATATAATTTGATTCGAGCCACTCAAGAGCAAAATCCAAGCTAAGTTCAACAGCTTCTTTAACGTTAGTTTGATGTAATCCTTGAATGATTATTGATTGTAAGGGTGGCCACGCGTTAGGGAAATCCCATTGTTCACCAGTTTGATTCAGAGATGTTGGAGTTCCGCCTATATAGACGATAAAATAAATCGATTACATAATATATATTAATTTTAATGCATTTTGGATTCGACGATGGTAATAAATTCTAGATGATAATAAAACCTACCAAAGTACGAATTAATTTTCATTTTTTTCAAATAAGATATGGCACTAAGTGCGACCTCTCTGGCATTACTAGTATTGTAACTTAATGTGTATAAAGGTGTCAGGTTGGTAGGATAAAAGGATGTCCTATGACGGTGATTCTTCATGTTATAATCCATCCAAATTTTAAATTCGTCATTCCACAAGACCTCGTTGATACCTTCTTGAAATTGTTCTGCTATCTTTAGATAATATGACATTTTCTACGAAACAATTATCATGACAAAGTTATGTTTTCAATCGTGAAGTTATTTCTCAATCATACGGACAAATGCAAACTTACTTCTACGTTATTCATTTTGATGTGAAATTCGACAAGAATATGAGCATTTCTTTGAAGAAAGCTATTCAAATCAACTGGTATAATGTTCTTTGTATTGATATCGATCAAATTGTTTGATTCTTTTCCATCTGGTCCAATGAACCATCTTCCTGAAAAGTCCCAACCACTTTCAGCGCCGGCTTTCAAATTGTTGTAAAGGGTACGTTGCTTATCGACATCCGACAATTTTTGTGCCAATTTGTAGTCTTCCCTGAAATTAAGTAAGTCATTTATTAATAAGTTGATATTATCGTGATCTTCAAAAAAAAAAAAATATCGTTACGTTACGTTAATAAAATCCTGATTGAGGAATAAGTAAAATACATTCATCTCTTTCCCATTTATTCAAAATGAATATTTTGAGATATTAAAAATTGTCTACTCTTGTAAAAGGAATTTCATTTTTATGATCGTCTAGGTAAAGGAGTTGTTTCAAACTATCGTGCACAGTTAATTTATTATGAAAGGAAAAGAATATTTCATTTTGATAGTTTCTCAATTAAGTTTGAAACGGATCAAATGTAATTGTATAGTTATCAAATGATTTTGTGATCTTCATTTCCTTGTGAAACGTATCGAACCTCAACGAGATTCGTAATATTTCGATGAATAATGAAAATATAAAAAATTTCAATCGATTTGATGCTTTATAGTATTATAGTAATTTTTTACTATATTGCTTTATAGAAATTCTGTTTTTCTTTTTTGTTTATATTATGTAAATAATTATATCAAAATTTAAATTAAATTTTGTATACTATCGTATCTTTAACATTATTCAACAATGTACGTACTTATATTAATTTTCATAAATATCATTTTAAAATTTTATTTTATTATTAGTAATATTAACTTGATATTTATTGAAAAGAATCGAATATATTGAATCTGCATTGAAACACAAAGTATTTAAGTTTTAATGTACTTGTAACTTTCTGGACGTGGTCCTTTGCTGTGAACGTTGTAATGGGCCATATTATAAATTTTTCCATTTTTCTTCACATTAGTCATCTTGTATTTCATCCAATAATCGAACTCTTTCTCTAAGGTCCCTATAATGTCGTTCAAATACTCATAATCTTGCGTATATTCCAGATATAGCTTGACCTGTAACGGAAAATAGACAAGAGGAACGATTAGAATGTTAAGGAGGAATACGAAGAAGAAATGAGTTAAAACTTTTTCAAAATCTTGATAGCAAGTTCGTGAAAATATAATATTCGTGAAATTAATGTTTGAAAATAAAGGATTTTCACTCGGGTTATATTAAGGGTATATCCTACTTGAAGATCTTTAACAAGTTCATCTTCCTTCTAAGTTTAACGAATATTTTCCTTAAGAGCCAAGGGCAAAGAAAAGAGAAAGAGAGAAAGAGAAAGGAAGTATAGTAAATAAAGAAAAAGAAAAAATCAATGAGAACTTATGGAAAGAATTTCTTTCAGAAGAATTTTCTATCTTGAAATTATTTTATTCTTTAATTCATCAATTTATTATTTAATTCCATAATTCATCATACACGGCTTTCAAATATTTGGGATAGTTAAAAAAGAATCGATCAATATATTTGATTAAAATCGAATTGTAAATATAGATTAATCATTGTCTAAACGATAATTTGATCATTAAAATCAAAAGATCAAGCTTAATAAAAAGTAGTACATGTACACTCGCATATTCCATATACATACATGTATAATTAAAAATTATATTTAAGGAACGTTAAGACTTACCATGGGAATTAACAACGGCGGATGACTTCTCATGAGATAGTAGATACGACCACCATTAGGTATGAATCCGAATTTTTCGACCATCGATAAAAAGTTGTTTATCATTCCTCTGGCAGTATCTTTCATTCCGCATATTAATAATCCTTCGATCACCCAATAACTGTCCCAATAGTAGAACTCTGTTAAAAAAATTATTTTTAATATTGAAAATCTCTTTGAATCAAATCTTTTTTGTCAAAATTTATTTCTCACACAATACTGCTTTTAAATGTTCGCGAATACATCAAAATAGTGTTTAAAATATCAGATATTATAACGTGCAATTTGTTAATGTATTTCATAATGACAGTTAATATTTGTTAAGTTTACTTATTAAATTATCGGATTAAATAGTTGTTAGATAAGTATTCTGTTTCTTTTCCTTTTTTTTTTGTTTTACCTTTGAATCGACCACCCGGTACTACGAACGCATTATCCACATAAATGAGACTATGTCTGTCTGGATGTTTAGCCACTATTGGTTTTATCTTCCTCGCCAATTTCTTCCATATTTCGTTTAATTCCTTCGCCCACTTTTGTAGATTAGGATCCTCGATGGTCTTCAAAAACGGAGGATTTTCTTGCCAATCCGGTAACGTGTAGTTATCGAGCTCATCTTGTGTCGAGAAATTATCCAAGACGAATTGAGCAACTTGGGAACGATTCGGTTGATTATTTGTTTCTTCCATTAATTTCTTGAAGCTGAAAGATAGTTCGTATATGTTAAATACTTAGTATATTATATCTATCTTCAAAATCGATAAAACGCTTCGTTTGTTAATTATGAAATTATGATGGAATGTAAAAGTTAAATTGCTGTGAGAGTTGTGTAACTTAAGAATCGTTATATTGAATAACATGCGATTGACGTAACAAGAAAAAGAAACTGACATAATGAATTGCACAGCTGATACTGTTTATTCATCTGATATGAGTTAATGATCAGTGGACATCCATTAGGCGTATAATTGCGATCCATTTAACAAATTTATTAACGTATTAACGATCAATTTGTAAAATTCTCTTTTTTTTTTTTTCTTCTATTTTCTACTGCATAAAACGAAGTCGTTTGGAAATTTTTATTTCGAACATTATACAGAATCTTCTCTCGTAAGATATTTCACTGGTTACAGCGATCTAAGATACAATTTGAATATCTTTTAGACGAAACATTTTGTCCCTCGTAGAACGCGAGTATTTACGTTTGCACTGTTTCGCGACAATAAGAAGCAGCTGGTGGAAACACATATCTCTTACATCGATGAAAATGCGAATGTCGATTGTTCAAAGAAAAATTTTAATCGTTTTCGATAATAACTTAAGAAAAATTTATCTCTAAAAATATTAAATCTAATTTTTATTACAATGAAAAATATCCACGTTCAATTAGAAAAAGAAAGTATATTTATTAATAATAATAATTGATATACATAAAAATAGAATAGAAATTACTTACTTAGCAAGTGTTATTTGCGGGTCGTTCTTCTGATACGAATCAACAAAGGTTTTACTATCATTGAAGATCTCCGCCAATTGTACGGTTTTTAAAAGATCCCCTTGACAATAGATTTGGCTGTAAGTTGAAAGAAAAAATAAAAATTATGTAGCGGAATGGATAAAGTTACTATCGTCTTTTGCCTTTTGATCGATTTTCATCGACACGAAACCACTTTTTATTCTTTTCTTTTTTTTTTTTTTTTTTTTTTAATCCTTATCAATAAGAACCGGGACGTGATTTCAATATGGTAACTATCGGAGAGTGGAAAAATGTCAGATTTCTGCGACAGCTAAGGGAATAAATATGCGGTTTGAGAATCTTTTTAATAAGATGTCAAATAAAAGAGAACGAGAAAGCTTATTTTTCTTTTTTTTTTTTTTTGGGAGAAACGGAAAAGATATGATCATACTTTTTGATATTATATTAAGATAGGAGGTGGATCGAAAAGTTTGAATTTGATTTAAAATAAATGAAAAAATATGTTTGGTTCGTGGGTCCGAACTAAACCAGGATCTTTATGAGTCTTGTTTTTACAATTTTTATTTCTCGCTTTTTTTTTTACTTTGTAATACGGGGACACTGATTTTAGAGATATGGTTTAAATTTTCGTTTCCTCTTCGGACATATTTCTAAATTCTCGAGGATACGAGCTGTAATAAAAGTGATCCTCGAATGGACTTTAGAAAATCTCTTATGTCATGAACTTTGAGAAGGAAGGTAAGATAGAAAAAGAAAAAGATTTTTCTGTTTTACTATTGGCGAACTAAACGAAGTAGCCAATCAAAGCTTTCAAGTGCCTTGGGAATTACCTTCGGACTAATCCACCTTCTTGGATCTTTCTTTTCATTGGAGAAACTTCGTTTTATCGTAAAAAATGTAATTTCTGATGTACATTCAGAAACGGGATCTCTTTTACTCCTTCTATTTCTAATATTTTCAAAGAGTATTAAGAGAATTAAAGTCAAAGGATTTCAAGAGTGTGCTTCGAATGCTACTATATACTATATATAACGGTACTACATATATATATATATATATATATATATATATATATATATATAACGATACTACAATAAAATAGATAAAATCGAAGAGTATTGAATTTCATTGAATTTCTTTCAAGAATTAGATATTTGAAAAACTTCTTGAAATCAGTGGAAAATATTCTATAAGTGATATAATTCCTGGTTTGGAAGTTCGTTAAGAAATTTTCATAGTTACATTTGATTATAAAAGAAAAAACTAATCAAATTCAGGCAATTTATTTTATATTCGTTTGTCATAAAATAATTAGTATATGATATGGATCCTATGCGATGACATAGCTCGCGTTCTTAGACGAGAAATAAATTTTCTTTCGTCCTATTTCTCTCTCTCTCTCTCTCTCTCTCTCTCTCTTTCTCTCACTCTCTCTCTTTCTCTCTCTGTCTTTCTCTCTCTCTTTCTCTCTCTCTTTCTCTCACTCTCTCTTTCTCTCTCTGTCTTTCTCTCTCTCTTTCTCTCACTCTCTCTCTTTCTCTCTCTGTCTTTCTCTCTCTCTTTCTCTCTTTCTTTCTTCTTCGAATTTTATTCTTTAGTCTATCGCAATGAAAAAAAAATAGATGATGATGTCAACCTTTGGATCGTTCCACCAAGTTTATGCTCGTCTTGATGAAGCAAGAAAAAAAAGAAAAAAAAAAGAAATAAAAAGAAAAAAGAAAATCTCGCGGTACATTGACCTGTCATCCTCAGCCATGAAATTTCTATTACTAACCACCACTATTGCTACGATTCGTTTTATTCCTTTTTAAAATTTTTATCTACGAAAATCCTTTGAGATTTCTACTGTATAATAGCATTGATGGAGCGCGAAAATCGTGTTAGAGGGATATAATATTAAGGAATGCTTTTTTATACTCGACGCGTGAGATAAATCATACAATTTCGAGTGATCCGGTCTCTTTTCTTTTCTTTTCTTTTTTTTTTTTATGTGAAAAATATCCTATATGTGACTATATATACATATTTAGATATATGTATATTTATTTAATGAATTCATATTCATTTTAAAAAGGAAATTAATTAGAAAATTCTTGTGTGATGGTACTGGATAATATGTAAAAGATTTCAGAAATTTTCATTTTTAATAACTTGGAATCTTAAAGTTTGCGTTGCATAAATTACGTTTTATAACGATCGAAGCTTTATTATTCATTACGGTTCATTTTATAGTTTTATGCTGTTCCGATCTATAACCATTTATAATTTTCCTAAATTAACCTTCTCTTTTTATTTAAACATCATATTTTATCAAACCTTATCGGATAAAATTATAAACTCTGTGTATAATTTAATTTAATGTAACGATATCGTTAACAGTATCGGATAGCGTAAAAATTTCTTTGATAAAATGCATTTACATTGTCCATGTACATAGGCATTATCGAAGTGTTACATCAAATGCAAATAAAATCCGATTGTCCATGATTTCTTTAACAAATAACATTCGTTCCATGCGATAATCGGAAAATGTCAACATACGTATCGATCTGTTTTGCTTCGTTTATTCCTTTTCCGTAGTCTCTATATACAGCAAACTTAATTTCCATATTTCGTATTACTTAAATTATTTTTTTTTTTTTTAAATAAAAATTGCGTTGTAAGAATTTATAATTATCATATTCCGATAACATATTTCACAGTTACAGTCGATCGAGGTCAGCGATAAATTCTACTAATAACTTTTTCTATTGATTTCTGTTACAACGTTACATCGTTGTTGCAAAACGTTAAAAAACATACATGTTTGAGAAATGACATATTTATGACAGTTAAACGATATAGAAAAATTCCATTGATTTTCAAATACTATATCGTATATGTAAATATAGAATTTCTTATACTAATCTGAAAGTTAATAAATTAAGCCTACTGATATATTATACTCTTTAATTAATATCGTTAAATTCGTCTAATAATAAAACATTACAATGTTATAATAAAGATATATTTGTTTTTATATTTGTCGTTATTAAAAAAAATACCGATGACTTTAAAATCTCGAAGAAAAATATTTAACTGAATCAATCAATTTGTTACTCTAAAGAATATATCATCAAAAGCAACAAAAATATTTTAAGTATTCAAGTTAAAAAGTTAACATCCTGTATATGCATATACACACACATATATAGTATATAGGATAACTATAATGCATTTAATGATAAATGGCAAATTGTCACAAATCAATAATCTTTTTAAATCAACTGTCCTTGATTCAAAGATTTTTTCAACAGTAGACGTCGGTCACTACGAATAAATATAAATAAAAAACTTGTCGATCGAAAACCAATTTTTACTCTTTCTTCTCTCGGGTATCCAAATAAAACGTAGATATATCTTCGTTAGATAAATTTGATTTGGTTGATCGAGTGAGATCGGGTAACGCGTCGGACATGAAAAGAAACATTATTAAGAGAGAGATTAAATATTTACGAATATAAGAGAAAAAAAAAATTGATTGATAGTTACGTATCGAAATCAGAATTATTCGAATTTTCCTATTCGAATCATATGTCTGATACATAATGTCGCAACATAATGTCTCTTCATCAACGATGTATCGATATCTTCGTTCAAGATTGAACTATACTGAGGTTTCATGGGTCAATTGAGGAGCCAATCGTGTACGGTTATCTCTATTTTGTGTTTTCTCTCTTTTTCTTTCTTTCTTTCTTTCTCTTCATTTCTTATTTCAGCAAACATCATCCCACCAAACTCAAGTATCATATATACAATGTATGTACATATATATGTATATGTCGTATATATGTGCCGGTTAAAGAGAAAGCTCATCGTCAATACTTTTCACTCTTTTTCCTTCTCACTTCGAACTACATCGTACCCATACTCCTTATATCCGTACAACTGCAGGAACGTTTCGTCTTCGAGCAAACTTTATCGTCCTTCGTCTTCGTATTTTTCTACTATGAGAAAATTGTAGGTTATCTTCGTGGACTCCTACAACTTGGAAAGTAGAATCAAAACAGACCTACATAAATCTTCCACTTCTATTCCGTATATTTTCAGAAATGCAAACCAAACAACGAAAATATCGATGGTAATTTTTTTTCAGCAATTGACATTACCGAATCGTTTGAAAATGATTATTGTTGCACTTAAGCGTTCTCATGTGAAATGAGATAAGAGATGATATTATTTAACTTATTTTAATGTTTTCTTAATGTTTAGCATATTTCATAGTTGTTTTAGACGTAACAAAGATAAATTAAATGAAAATTCAAGAAGACTTTCCTTTATCTCCTTGAGAAAAATTATTCAATGAAATTATATTTTCATAGAATTTTATTGTGGTAATGCTTATTTATAAAAAGGAATTAATTTTAGTATTGATTCATAAAGAATTAATTATTTTCTTACGATATAATAAGATATCGACCAGATCCGTTCTATTTAGAAATCCTTTTATACGTAAATAATAATGAACTCTCTTGGCCGGCAGGTCAATTAAATTTGACAAATGAAAAATTCACAAGCTCTAAAATGTTTTGACCCGATAAAAAAGTTGTGCAACAAAGGTTTACGGATCAAACATTTTATTTCTTTACTTTTTTTTTTTTTTTATTAGGTAGGTATGCACAATGCAGTTATCGAACAATTAATTTTGCTTTTAACTGTTTCTTTTTTCTTGTCTTTTTTTTTTTTTCTTTTTTTTTTCAATAACCGTTTACAATAATTGAAAGAACGATCGATACAAATGTACTTCTGTTACAATCTGATATAGAGTCAGCTTTAATTTGATGATATTATTGATAAATAATACTAACCGTCGAATCGCAATCCCGAAAATTCATGTCAAACTCTAACGTAATTCGATTCGTTCGTCCGTAGTTGCTTTCATAATACCGATTTATCAAGTATTTCGTGTTAATGAGAGCTATAAATAATGCAAGAAAGATAATTCATCTATCGTCAAAAACATTTATCCTGCATCACATTGTACATTAAACAGTATAGTAAAAATTTTTAATACTATTAGGTGGTAAATCAATTTAATCGAATTTAATAATTATCGT